GCCTTTGCTCCGCGTCTTCCTGGTCTGCAGACCAGGGAGACGTGGAGAAAGCCCCGGAGTACACGGGCGGCAGGACTGCGAGGTCCCGCAGTCCGTGTCCTCCGGGGGAGCCCCGTTCGTAACTGCGGATCCGACAGAAGTCGGATCCGCGTAAGTCGGGGACTGCCTGTATATCCCTATTGGCTATGACTGGGAAGCGGTTGAACCTCCCTAATCCAGACGTCCCTCATCCAGCAACACCTCTGGTCCGGCATCATAACGAAAACGGGCAGGAGTGTTGCAAAACCAGGGAAAAATAGAGCCTGGAAGCATAGGGGAACAGACACCAGGTGCCCCTCGAAAATCTTTTCCTTCCTTCAGGATCCCAGCTGTGAACTCAGGCAGCTTACAGCTGTGCACACCGGCCCCTTTCCCAGCTGGGTTTTGTCCTGGCTAGAGAGACTGAACCCTCCACCAGGGGTCAGTAGAGATGAGGACGAAGCTCCAAAGTGGCATGAACGCTTAGGATAGTGAAACATCCATGATCCGATGGATCTTAAAGGGGCCATGCTGTTTTTTTTTTTTTTTTTTTTTTTTGCTTTCTTTTTTTTCCTCAACAAGTCCCTCCGGCAGAGGGAAGGGAGAGAGAAATAGGAGAAAAGCGGAGAGAGAAGCTACAAGCTCCCAGATCTGCTCCGATCCAGTCACTGTTTTTGTAGATTTTGCCTCGTCTGTCCCTCTGCCTAGATCACACCCTGCGGGGGCAACGTGTTGCCCTTGGGGGCCAGGCCGGGTTTGACAGGCTTTCGGTGGGTGTACCTCTGGGGGGAAGGGTCAGGGCTGTCCGGCAACGCAACAACGGGGTGTTTTGCCTGTAGAGGAGACCTTTGACTTGCGACCGCCCGAGTTGCGTTCCCCCGCACTTACAACCAATTTGGAAATGCGGAAGGGGCTGGAAACCCCTGACTTACATCCTCGGTCCACATTTACGACAGTGCCCGGCGCCTATCGTAAATGCGGGTTCACGTTACGACCCCCCACTTGCGACGCTTCCCACGGAACCCATCACATCGCAAGTCCTACGGGCCAGAGGTGGGACGTGCTGGTAGGGTTGCCAGGTGTCCGGTATTGACCCAAACAGTCCAGTATTTTCACCTCCTGTCTGGTAAAAAAAAATCCAGAAAATACCAGACATCGAAAATGTCCGGTATTTTCTGATTTTTTTTCCCGGCCAGGAGGCAAAAATCCCAGGTGCTTACCTAGTTCTACTGGCAGCCTGTTAGGACCAAAAAGCCTCAAAAGGATTTCTTAAAGGGGCCATGCTGGGTTTTTTTGTTTGGTTTTTGCTTAATAGCTCTTGGGGTCCTTTTTTTTCCCCTCAACTTTGGTCTCTTCCTTTTTTTTCTCAACAGAATTTTTTCCCGTGTTTTTTTTGGGAGTGGAGGGGTGGGAAAGATGTTCGGTTAAACCATCTAGCAGCCCTGTGTGCTGGGAAAGTAACTAAAGCTGGTTCTGAAATCTCTCCGATTCCCCGACAGGCTGTGGCGCCACTTCCACGCCTTGCTCCGGCTGGGACCAGCCTCCCCGGGGATGGAGAAGGGAAACAGCTGCGCAGGTAGGGACTGAGAGAGCGGAGCTGGTGATCCCCTCTGGCCTGATTGGGGTAGTAAACACAAAGAGGCGGGAACTTCCCAAGACTTTTGTCTGGAGGTGGGAGCAGGCAGGAAACCCGCAGGGGGAAGAAAAGCTTGTTTAACCTGAGCTCGGATTCTAAAGGAACAGACGCCGGGCACACGAGGAAGGAAAACGCCCTATTTATGGGACAGGAAACACCACGCTTCTCAGACGGAGCAGCAGAAATTCCCTGGCAGCCAGTGCTTAAGCCAGAATCCCAAGACTTTTGTCTGGAGGTGGGAGCAGGCAGGAAACCCGCAGGGGGAAGAAAAGCTTGTTTAACCTGAGCTCGGATTCTAAAGGAACAGACGCCGGGCACACGAGGAAGGAAAACGCCCTATTTATGGGACAGGAAACACCACGCTTCTCAGACGGAGCAGCAGAAATTCCCTGGCAGCCAGTGCTTAAGCCAGAACCTCGGAGGCTCCTATGAGATACGAAGGGGGCTGCCCCACACATCCGGATTCTCAATCTCCGGCACCAGCCTCTGGCTTGTAGATGTGGGAAGCATCGAATCGTAGAACCCTAGGGCTGGAGGAGACCTCTGGAGGTCATCAAGTTTAGCATGAGAATATATTGCTCTCCACTGCTTCCTGGGTGGGATGCACTATGAGATACGAAGGGGGCTGCCCCACACATCCGGATTCTCAATCTCCGGCACCAGCCTCTGGCTTGTAGATGTGGGAAGCATCGAATCGTAGAACCCTAGGGCTGGAGGAGACCTCTGGAGGTCATCAAGTTTAGCATGAGAATATATTGCTCTCCACTGCTTCCTGGGTGGGATGCACGGGTCTCTCTCCCCTCCTCCAGTGTCTTCGGAATGGGATGTGGGTTATGGCTGGGGCAGCAGGGGCTGAATGGGGCGCTCTTGCTCTTTCAGAGGCTGGTGGCCTTCGAGGAGGTGGCCGTGTATTTCACCAAGGAAGAGTGGGCTTTGCTGGACCCCTCTCAGAGAGCTGTCTACTGGGACATCATGCAGGAGAACTACGAGAACGTGACCTCGCTGGGTAAGGATTCCTGCCCCTCGGTTACTAAAAGGGGAGATGACGAGTTAGGCTATGTCTAGACCAGTGTTTCTTAAACTGTGTTCCGTGGCACACCGGTGTGCCATGGAGAACACTAGTTAAAAATGGCCGCCTTTAAAGGGACAGGCGACTTTTTTTTTTTTGGCTCAACAAAAAGTCGTTGGTGTTCCTCATAAAAAAAATATATTGTTTGGTGTTCCTCTGTCTTAACAAGTTGAAGAAACACGGGTCTAGGCTAGGTTCTGTTGGCGAAAGAGGATATGCAAATTCCGCGGGCATTTGCATATCTTCTTCCCATCTCACTTTCGAAAGAGGAAACAAAAAACAGGACTATGTAACACTTTAAAGACTAACAAGATGGTTTCTTAGGTGATGAGCATCTTTCGAAAGTGAAAGCCGTCTGGATGTGGGTTTTTTTCCCCTTTTTCAAAAAAAAAAAAAACGCTCTTTCTTAAAAAAAAGGAGGTTGATGCGGTTTTTTCGAAAAAGGTTTTTTTTTCCCCGAAAAGACCGCGTCCAGACTACGTTCACTTTTGAAAAATCCTCTTTTGAAAGCGAGATTGGAAGAAGATATGCAAATGCCCGCGGAATTTGCATATCCTCTTTTAAAAAAAAAACGTGATTTATATGTGCCCTTAAAGTCCATGTCACCTTCATAATGCGACCTACGGCAGCTGGTGACACGGCACTGTCAGGAGGCAACCTTGGTCCTTCAAGGTTCACCAGCACCTCTCTTCGAGTCACGGTCACAGCTGTGCAAAGTTGCTCCCACTCATTTTCCCGCCGTCCACTTACAGCGACAGCTGACTCTCTGCGTGAGATCTATGGTGGCATTCCAGTCTGCGGGACGCAACCCAAGCATGGGTTTGTTTTAGTCCTTCCTCGTAGCTGTTAAAGATTCAGGAATTAAAAGAACGCCCAGAAGTGACTTTCCGTGGTGGGCAACCTCTGGCCCGTTGGGGCTCTCTGCGTGGCCCACGACACAGTTTGTTTACGGTTGTCCACGTGCAAGGTGGCCACGTGCTGATGGACTTGATGACTCCTGAGGTCTCTTCCAGCTCTAGGATTCTAAAATGCTGAATCACAGAGTGAGCCTGCTCGGCTTTGGCACCTGGATGGGATACCTGGGGAAACAGGGAACAGAAATCAGGAACGTTTCGGAAAGTCCATCTTGGAGGGACCCAGAGCAGCAGGACACGACCCTTCCCTCTGAGACTCCAACCAGAAGACTGCCCCTCTTCCAGGACCCCTCAGACAGACATGTTGCCTCTCCTCCTTCGGCAAAACGGTCATTTGACCTCCACCCCTTTCCTTGCTTCAACACGATGCAGCCGGTTGGCCCCTGGGGAGACTTTCTTCCCCCCTGCCTATCAGTTCCCAGGTCACAGGCATCGGCAAAACATCCGGCACCTTAGAGCACCTGGAGAGCTCACCCCAAAATTTCAGTGCTTTAAAACGAGGAGGGGTTCAAAAATGCCGTGTCCTCATGAGAAATGCCCCGTGCATTCACTCTTGTTTACTTTGCTCCAAGCAGGGTTACCACTGTCCACACCGGAAGTGACGCCCCAGCTGGAAGGAGGCGAAGAGCTGTGGGTCTCCGATCTCCAGGGCTCGGAGGGAAGAGAGATCCCGAGAGGAACCTACACAGGTGAGGAGCCATGCGACCCACTCGGATGCTGTCTGTGCCTGAAAGAAACAGCTGGGATTCCCTGCCACGGTCTTGCTAGCTCTCTGAGTTCTGGATTGTCCTCCAACCTATGTCATGTGTATTGCTCATGGCTTCCAACCTATCCTGAGTGATGTGTAGCAATAGTTCCTTCCTAACCTGTGTTATTCTGAGCATTGGAGTGGAGATGGAATTGATCTCTTCTCATTCCACTCCTGATATTTCTCCCACCTCTCTACCGTGGTTTTCTCTGCCCTTCTTCTCCCCCGTTCCTGTTTCTGAGGTTTCTCTCTCTCTGTCTCAGGAGATGACGGGAAGTTGAATGAGAACGAGGAGCAGAGTCCAGAGCAGGAGAATACTGAGCACTTGGCATCGCCCGGGGGATTGTCACAAAGAACAAATTGGGATGTATCCAGAAGTCGTGAGGAGAGACAGCAGGGAAACCAGCTGGGCGAGAAAGTCTGTAAATCCGTTAAGTGTGAGGAAAATCACACGGCCCTCCAGGAAACCACTGTCCAGCAGAGAATCCAAATGAGAAAGGGCAAACACATCTGCTCAGAGTGTGGGAGAAACTTCAGCCGACGCTCGCACCTTATTCACCATCAGCGAATCCACACAGGAGAGAGACCCTACGAATGCTGCGAGTGTGAGAAAAACTTCACCCGGCGCTCAGACCTCCTTAGACACCAGAAAACCCACACGGACGAGAGCCCCTATGAATGTTGTGAGTGCGGCAAAGCCTTCATTTACTGCTCCGACCTGCGGCGACATCAGAGGATCCACCGAAGACAAAGGCCGTATGATTGCTGTGAGTGCGGGAAAAGCTTCCGTCTGGGGTCGCACTTTATCGTCAGAGAATCCACCATAAAATCCTTGTCTAGGGCTGGCAAAACATTCATTTTTTTTCTTGAATATTTGTGCTACTTCCAACATGCGGCTTTTTCAGCTGTTAGTGCCGTTCACGTCCTTGTGGCCTCCGCTGCCACAGGCCAGTTGTCCAGTTCTCCTTTTGCACTGAGTCCTCCTTGTTTGACACCTGAAGCCAGAGCTGGTGTTAGGGGTGGACAAACCGGACGATCGTCCGGGGTCGCCATTTTCAAGAGGCCACCGACAGAGCTGGTATTAGGGACCACATTTTGGCTCGATCTCCCAAATCCTCCCCTCAGATTTCCTTGGTTACTCCCCGACCTTTTGTTGTGTTTTATTTGCTTGACAAATTTTTGTCCGGTATTTTTTTTTTAAACCATCTGGTAACCCTATGGGCGAGCCGGGCGGTCACCCAGGGCCGCCAGTTGGTTAGGACCGACCCTACCTGGAGCATATTGGTAAACAATCACTTTGTAAGCACCTGGAGTATACTTGTGTTGTTACGAATAGTTAGTATGGGTTTGTCAAGAACAAATCATGCCAAACCAACCTGATTTCCTACTTTGAGAGATTTATTGGCCTACGGAATTACAGTGGATTTATTGCGTTTTTATTCTAGTACAGCCTTTGACACATTCCCGCCTGTTGTTCTCGTAGGGAAATAGATCTGGATGACATTATTATAATGCGGTCGCAAAACTGGTGGAAAGATCACACTCAGTCTAAATCTGCAGCAAGGAAATTTAGGTTAGATATGAAGGAAAAGCTTGGAACGACAAGGGTGGTTTAGCTCTGGGATGAGATTCGGAATGAGGTTATGAAATCCCTACCCTTGGAAGATTTTCAGAAGAGCTTAGACAGATACTATAAAGGACTCCCTGGGTGTGTCCAGACTACAGGGTTTTGTCGACAAAAGTGGACTTTTGTTGACAAAACTATACCTGCGTCCACACTGCCTTTGAGTTACATCGACATAACGTCAACAAAACTCAGCAGTTTTGTCGACATACGTAAACCTCATTCTACGAGGAATAACGCCTTTTGTTGACAGAGTTCTGTCGATAGAAGGCGTTATTGCATCTACACTGTCCTTTGTGTCCACACTGTTATGTCGACAAAGCGGCTTGCTTTGTCGACAGAACTGGATGTAGTCTAGACGCTCTTTGTCGACAGAAGCTTCGTCGACAGTATGGGTACGTATGACTACAGGGACAGTATGACTACAGGGTTTTGTCGACAGAAGCTTTGTCGACAGATACTGTCGACAAAGCTTCTGTCGACAAAGAGCATCTAGACTACATCCAGTTCTGTCGACAAAGCAAGCCGCTTTGTCGACATAACAGTGTGGACGCAAAGGACAGTGTAGATGCAATAATGCCTTCTGGCGACAGAACTCTGTCAACAAAAGGCGTTATTCCTCGTAGAATGAGGTTTACATACGTCGACAAAACTGCTGAGTTTTGTCGACGTTATGTCAACATAACTCAGCGGCAGTGTGAACGCAGGTATAGTTTTGTCGACAAAAGTCCACTTTTGTCGACAAAACCCTGTAGTCTAGACACACCCCCTGGGTCTATTTGTTCCTGCTTCAGTGTCCGGGCGGGGTCCAGCGATGTTCTAGCGCTTTGTTTGGGTGGGTCTGTCACTCTGAAGCCATCACCATACACTGGGGGGACATTCACACTTCTTTCCATGACGCCGGACTTGCTATATTCCTTAGCTGCTTAGCATCTGCTTTCCTGATATCTAACCCCCCTGATGTTCCATGCACGATGATATCCCCACTCCTTCCTATTCCTTGCTTTGCTTAGTCCTGCCGGCCATTTTTGGCAGCCTCAGTTTCCCTCTGACTGTTTCATTACTCTTGGGTCTCTGTCAGTAGAAAGCAGTTCCAAGGTGATTCCCTCTTGGCTTTCTGTGACGTGGAGTGACTTCCCCTGGGTTTTCAGAGCCCTTTTGAGCAGCAGTGTCTGGCTATGTGTTTGCCAGCAGAGCGGTAGATATTTAATGCCCTTATACGCAGAATATCCAGCACCTCAGAGCATCCAGAGAGGTAGCCGCCGAATTTCGGTATTTTAAAATGAACGGAGGTTTAAAATAAGGCCGTGTCCTCGTGAGAAATGCCCCATGCATTCACTCTTGTTTACTTTGCTCCGAGCAGGGTTACCACTGTCCACACCTGAAGTGATGCCCCAGCTGGAAGGAGGCGAAGAGTTGTGGGTATCAGCTCTCCAAGGCTCGGAGGGAAGAGAGATCCTGAGAGGAACCTACACAGGTGAGGAGCCATACGACCCACTCGGATGCTGTCTGTGCCTGAAGGAAACAGCCGGGATTCCCTGCCAAGGTCTTGCGAGCTCTCTGAGTTCCGGATTGTCCCCTAGCCTATGACCTCCGGGTAGGTAGCGTCATGGCTTCCGACCTATCCTGAGCGACATGTGGCAACCTAACTTCCCTTATTCTGAGCGTTGGGGTCCCTCTTCTGAGCCGTTTCCTGATATTTCCCCCACCTCTCCAGCTCTCTACCCTGGTTTTCTCCGCCCTTTTCTGCTTCTGAGGTTTCTCTCTCCATGTCTCAGGAGATGACAGGAAGATGAATGAGAACGAGGAGCAAAATCCACAGCAGGACGGTACCGAGCACATGGAGCCAGATGGGGGATTGTCGCAAAGACCTAAGGGAGACGTGTCCAGGAGTCGTGAGGAGAGACAGCAGGGAAACCCACCAGGGGAGAACGTGGATAAATCCAAGTATGAGGAAAATTACAAGCACCTCCAGGAAACCACAGCCCAGCAGAGTATCTTCACAGGAAAGGGCAAACACATCTGCTTAGAGTGCGGGAAAAACTTCAATCGACGCTCCCACCTTATTCACCATCAGCGGATCCACACGGGAGAGAGACCCTACGAATGCTGCGAGTGTGAGAAAAACTTCACCCGGCGCTCAGACCTCCTTAGACACCAGAAAACGCACACGGACGAGAGCCCCTATGAATGTTGTGAGTGCGGCAAAGCCTTCATTTACTGCTCCGACCTGCGGCGACATCAGAGGATCCATATGGGTCAGAGACCCTATGAATGCTGTGAGTGTGAGAAAAGCTTCCATTAGATTGCCTATCTCCTAGAACTGGAAGGGACCTTGAAAGGTCAACGAGTCCAGTCCCCTGCCTTCTCAGCAGGACCAAGTACCATCCCTGATGAATTTTTGCCCCAAATCCCTAAGGGTACGTCTAGACTACAAGGTTTTGTCGACAGAAGTTTTGTCGACAGATACTGTTGACAAAGCTTCTGTCGATAAAGAGCGTCTAGACTACAGCCAGTTCTGTCGACAAAGCAAGTTGCTTTGTCAACATAACAGTGTGGACGCAAAGGTCAGTGTAGATTCAGTAATGGCTTCTATCGACAGAACTCTGTCAACAAAAGGCGTTATTCCTCATAGAATGAGGTTTACATATGTCGACAAAACTCCTGAGTTTTGTCGACGTTATGTCAACATAACTCAAAGGCAGTGTGGATGCAGGTATAGTTTTGTCGACAAAAGTCCACTTTTGTCGACAAAACCCTGTAGTCTAGACACACCCTAAACGGCCTCCGCAAGGATTGAACTCACAACCCTGGGTTTAGCAGGCCAATGCTCAAACCACTGAGCTATCCCTCTCCCCTAAAGTTGCTCTTTATTTGTAATCAGAGAAACCCCCCAGACGCCTTCCGCCCCCATCCTGTTCCTCGCCCCGACTGCACCAGGGATGACAGGACAGCATGTCCCAGGCACTGTAAGAGCTCATTCTGTCGGTACGGAGGGTCAGAAGTGGAGGAGCCGGGGACTCGCTGCCCCTGCTCACCGGGCTGCCTGGGACGTGGGCTGTCTGACGGTGCGTCAGGGAACCCCCCGACCCTGCACCCCCAGTCGCAGCAAGATGTGACTCTGCCAGCCAGTAGAATAGGGAGGGTTTATTGCGTCTCAGAGATCCAGCATAGCGTGGGCACGATGGGGACATAGGAGTCTTAGACCTCTTGAGGAGCACACAGGCCCCTGAAACCCCTACTGCTCGACTTCGTCTGTTCTCTTTGGCTACGTCTACACTGGCACCCTTTTCCGGAAATGCTTAAAACGGAACAGTTTTCCGTTATAAGTATTTCGGGAAAAAGCACGTCTACATTGGCAGGATGCTTTTCCAGAAAAGCACTTTTTCCGGAAAAGCATCCATGGCCAATGTAGAGGCGCTTTTCCGCAAAAAAGCCCCGATCGTCATTTTCGCGATCGGGGCTTTTTTTGCAGAAAAGACTACTGGGCTGTCTACACTGGCCCTTTTCCGGAACAGTTTTTCCGGAAAAGGACTTTTGCCCGAACGGGAGCAGCAGAAGGGGACGAACCATGGCCCGCAGGCCATATCTGTCTGGCTGCCAAGCAGGAAGCAGGATCTGGAAAGCTTTGCTGGGAAGAGCCAGCCAGTGACGTAGTCCACTCTGGTTTTGCAGGTGTTGATTGCCGTGTTGTGCTGTGTGTGACCTCTACTGCCCTATGCTACTCTGCAGAGACTCTGTGTGTGCCTGTGTGCACTGCCTAGCAGGGGGTGGTCCCTGAGGACAGGCACGTAGGCCATGGCCTAGCCACTTTGCACTTGGCCAGGGGAAGGAGTATGAATAAAGGAAGGGGTGTGGCTACCTGGGGGAAGTGAGTGATTGGTGATGGAGAGACGGGGGCAGTCTTGGCTGGGCAAACATAATGGCTGTGTCTACACTGGGCCACTTATTCTGGAAAAGCAGCCTCTTTTATGGAATAACTTGCCAGCTATCTACACTGGCCACTTGCTTTTCCGGAAAAGCAATGACGATCTACTGTAAAATTGTCAGTGTTTTTCTGGAAAAACTATGCTGCTCCCGTTCGGGCAAAAGTCCTTTTATTATAGAATCCTAGAACACTAGAACTGGAATGGACCTCGAGAGGTCATCGAGTACAGTCCCCTGCCCTCATGGTAGGACCAAGCACCGTCTAGACCATCCCTGGTAGATGTCTACAGAATCCTAGCACACTAGAACTGGAAGAGACCTTAAGAGGTCATCGAGTTCAGTCCCCTGTCCTCACGGCAAGACCCAGTACCGTCTAGACCATCCCTGATAGATGTCTATCTAACCTGCTCTGATATCCCCATTGCTTCCAGTTCCTTGCTATGCTTAGTCCTGCCAGCCATGCTCATCAGCCTCAGTTTCCCTCTGGCTGTTTCGTTACCATTGGGTCTCTGTCCGTAGGAAGCAGTTCCAAGGTTATTCCTTTGTCTATGATGTGGAGTGACTTTCCCTGGTTTTAGGAGCTCCTTTCAGTGGGAATGTCTGGCCGTGCGTTCACCAGTAGAGCGGGTTAGGGTTATACACAGAATGTCATGCACCTCAGAGCATCTAGAGAGGTAGCTGCTGAATTTCGGTGTTTTAAAATGAACAGAGGTTTAAAAAAAGGCCATGCTGTCATGAGAACAGCCCCATGAATTCACCCTTGTTTACTTTGCTCTGAACAGGGTTACCACTGCCCACACCTGAAGTGATGCCCCAGCTGGAAGGTGGCGAAGAGCTGTGGGTCTCAGCTCTCCAGGGCTTGGAGGGAAGAGAGATCCTGAGAGGAACCTGCACAGGTGAGGAGCCATTCGACCCACTCGATGCTGTCTGTGCCTGATGGAATCAGCCGGGATTCCCTGCCGAGGCCTTGCGAGCTCTTAGTTCCGGATTGTCCTCCAGCAGGTGTCATGTCCTCAGGGCAGATATCACTCACGACTTTCTACCCATCCTGAGCGACTTCGCAATAGCTGCCTTCCTAGCTTGTGTCGTTATTCTGAGTGTTGGGATGGGAGATGGAGACGCAATTGATCCTCTCTTCTCTTCTGTCGAAGGCAGAGTTCGCGGAAATTAATTTCCTGATATTTCCCCATTTTCCAGCACTTATGGGCTACCTCTAGACTGGCATGATTTTCCGGAAATGCTTTTAACGGAAAAGTTTTCCGTTAAAAGCATTTTCGGAACAGAGCGTCTAGATTGGCATGGACGCTTTTCCGCAAAAGCACTTTTTCCGGAAAAGCGTCCATGCTAATCTACACGCGCTTTTGGGAAAAAAAGCCCCGATTGCCATTTTCACCATCGGGGCTTTTTTGCGCAAAACAAATCTGAGCTGTCTACACTGGCCCTTTTGCGCAAAATTTTTGCGCAAAAGGACTTTTGCCCGAACGGGAGCAGCATAGTATTTCCGCAAAAACACTGACAATCTTACATGAGATCATCAGTGCTCTTGTGGAAATTCAAGTGGCCAGTGTAGACAGCTGGCAAGTTTTTCTGGAAAAGCGGCTGATTTTCTGGAAAACCTGGCCAGTCTAGACACAGCCATGCTGTTTTCCTCTCTTCTTTTGTATTTAGGTTCTCTTATGTGCACACTGTAGGGTACCCCAGTTGTACCCTTCCATGCGCTCGCGAAGCCCCTCCCCCCGCAGCTCGTGAAGCTGCCTCCGCACCTCTGAAAACGGCCTCGCCTCCCAGTTCTCTGTTCCGGAGCAGGGGAGCTGTCCGGTGCGGACATTAAAAATGATGTCCTCAAGATGGTGTCAACCAGCAGGAGCCTGATGTGGCCAAAAAGCCTCTAAATGCATTTCTTTTTGCTTTTTGCGTTGGATCCGCTGATATCTTGGCTTTTTGTCTGGAATAGGTTGGCCACTCTTGTTCTCTAAATTGACAGTGACTAAAACAGAACACACACACACTCAGCATACAATACCCACCACTCCCGTTAAGGAACTTTTGCTTGTGTCCATGCTGGATCTGGTTGTCAGAGACTCCTCCTGCACAATGTAATTGGCCGGTCTGATCTTGGACTATGTCCCGAACTTAGGTTTCAAAGAAGTTCATTTTGGACCCCAGTGTATATAGTTTAACTTGAGAGCTCCGTGGCTTTACCTTAACCAAAATACCACAAGCCACTATTTTTAATGATCCTAGCTCATTACAAAATAATCATAGAATCTTTGGCTGTGTCTAGACTACATGCCTCTGTCGGCAGAGGCATGTAGATTAGACAGATCGGCAGAGGGAAATGAAGCCGCGATTTAAATAATCGCGGCTTCATTTCAATTTAAATGGCTGCCCCACTCTGCCGATCAGCTGTTTGTCGGCAGAGCGGGGCAGTCTAGACGTTCCCCTGTTGACCGAAAACCCTTTTGTCGACCGCCCCGGTAAACCTCATCCCACGAGGCATAACGGGGCAGTCGATTTCTGTCGACAGGGGAACGTCTAGACTGCCCCGCTCTGCCGACAAACAGCTGATCGGCAGAGCGGGGCAGCCATTTAAATTTAAATGAAGCCGCGATTATTTAAATCACGGCTTCATTTCCCTCTGCCGATCTGTCTATTCTACATGCTTCTGCCAACAGAGGCATGTAGTCTAGACACAGCCATAGAGCTGGAAGAGACCTCAGAAGGTCATCAAGTCCACCCCCCTGCCCAAGACAGGACCAACCCCAAATAAATCAACCCAGTCAGGGCTTTATCAAGCCGAGACTTAAAAACCTCTAGTGATGGAGATTCCATCTCCCTAGGTAACCGATTCCAGTGCTTCACCACCCTCCTAGTGAAATAGTTTTTGTGTGTTCACCCATCATAGCCCACCACTTTAGTTAATTTAAATTTTGCAATGGTAATTATGGAAGAGACAGAAAATAACAAAGAATCCGACCGAAACTAGACAGATAAACAATCTAGAAGTAGGGACCATGAAGGCAAAACGATAAAGAAGTAGAGATTTCATAGTCACAAGAGTTAAGTGATTCCTTACTCCAGGGGTGGCCAAACTGTTTAACAAATAGAGCTGAAACAGCGGCGGAAAAAATGCGAAGACCCGCACCAGAACTGTCGAGCAAAAAAAGAGAAAGCCCCCCAGAATTGTCAAGCTAAAAAAGGAAAAACCCCCAGAATTGTTAAGCAAAAGAAAAAAAGAAAAGCCCCCTGCCCTCACCAGGATTGTCAAGCAAAAAAAAAAAAGCTGCCCCTTTAAGCAACAAGCTTAGGCTTTTTGGCCATCTCAGGCTCCCATTGACAGCCGCCATTTTGGGCACCATTTTGAATTGCCACCCCAGTGAGGGTTGGAGGGAGCTGGAGGCGGAGGCGGTTGTGTGTGTGTGGGGGGGGGGGGAGGTGCAGGAGCGGTTTCGTGAGCCACGCTTTTGGGGGAGAAGAGCCACATGTGGCTCTTGAACCGCATGTTGGCCACCCCTGACTTACTCGATAGAATGCTATCAAACCAAGATTTTTAAAAATATTTTAAGATCTGTCTATCTGCGGATAGCCTGTATTATCAGGGCAGGAGCGTCTTCTTAACAGCCTGATATTACATTGGTTTGATATAATTTAGAGGGAATGCGGGATGTATTTTGGTGCTTTTTAGCTTCTGGCTGCCACTGTCCTAATGTGGCTGCAGAAAACGGCCTTGGAGCATACAGTTTATCTCTCTGCCTCAGGGGATGATGGGAAGGTGAATGAGAATGAGGAGCAGAATCCACAGCAGGAGGATGCTGAGCACATGGAACCACATGGGGGATTGTCACCAAGAACAACGGGGGATATATCCAGGAGTTGTGAGGAGAGACTGCAGGGAAACCAGCCAGGGGAGAACGTGGGTAGATCCATCAAGTGTGAGGAAAATCACAAGGACCTCCCGGAAAACACAACCCAGCAGACTATCCTCACAGGAAAGGGCAAACACACATGTTCAGAGTGTGGGAGAAACTTCAGCAGACGCTCACACCTAATTCACCATCAGCGGATCCACACGGGAGAACGACCCTACGAATGCTGCGAGTGTGAGAAAAACTTCACCCGGCGCTCAGACCTCCTTAGACACCAGAAAACGCACACGGACGAGAGCCCCTATGAATGTTGTGAGTGCGGCAAAGCCTTCATTTACTGCTCCGACCTGCGGCGACATCAGAGGATCCACAGAAGACAAAGGCCCTATGAATGCTGTGAGTGCGGGAAAAGTTTCCGTCTGGGGTCGCACTTTGTCGTCCTCATGCCTTCCTATTTCTTACCGTGTTCAGCTTGGCTTTCTGTAACATGGAGTGACTTTCCCTGGGTTTTAGGAGCCCCTTTGAGCAGCAGTGTCTGGCTGCGTGCGCACCAACAGAGTGATGGATTCTTAATCCCCTTATCTGCAGAATGTCTGGCATCTTAGAACTTCTGGCTGCGTCTAGATTGGCATGATTTTTCGGAAATGCTTTTAACGGAACAGAGCATCTAGATTGGCACGGATGCTTTTCCTCAAAAGCACTTTTTGCGGAAAAGCGTCTGTGCCAATCTAGACACGCTTTTCCGCAAAAAAGTCTCGATCGCCATTTTCGAGATCGGAGCTTTTTTGCGGAAAACAAATCTGAGCTGTCTACACTGGCCCTTTTGCGCAAAAGCTTTGCATAAAAGGGACTTTTGCCTGAACGGGAGCAAAATAGTATTTGCACAAGAAGCACTGATTTCTTACAGTAGGAAGTCAGTGCTTTTGCAGAAATTCAACGGCCAGTGTAGACAGCTGGCAAGTTTTTCCGGAAAAGCGACTGATTTTTCTGGAAAAACTGGCCAGTCTAGATACAGCCCTGGAGAGCTTACCCCAGAATTTCAGTGCTTTAAAATGAGCACGGGTTAAAAAAAAGGCTGATCTCTTGTTAGAAATGCTCCATGGTTTCATACAATCTCATGTTTTTTTCTTTCCTCTGCGCAGGGTTACCAGTGTCCAGACCTGAAGAGATGCCCCAGCTAGAAGGAGGGGAAGAGCTGTGGGTCTCCGATCTCCAGGGCCTGGAGGGAAGAGAGATCCTGAGAGGAACCTACACAGGTGAGGAGCCATTCAACCAACTTGGATGCTGTCTGTGCCTGAAAGAAACAGCTGGGATTCCCTGCCAAGGTCTTGCGAGCTCTCTGAGTTCTGGATTATCCCCCAAACCATGTCATGTCCTCAGGGCAGGTATTGCTCATGGCTTCCTACCCAACCTCCCTTATTCAAAGCATTGGAATGGGATATAGAGACAGAATTGCTCCCTTCTTTTCATTCATTTCCTGATATTTTCCCCACCTCTCCAGCTCTCTACCCTGATTTCCTCTGCCCTTTCTCCCCCCCCCCATTCTTGCTTCTGAGTTTTCTCTCTTTGTGTATCTCAGGAGATGATGGAAAGGTGAATGAGAATGAGGAGCAGAATCCACAGCTGGAGGATCCTGAGCGCATGGAATCGCATGGGGCATTGTCACAAAGAATACATGGGGATGTGTCTAGGAGTTATGAAGAGAGACAGCAGGAAAACCAGCCAGGGGAAAAAGTATATAAATCTATCAAGTGTGAGGAAAATCACAAGGACCTCCAGGAAAGCACAGCCCAGCAGAGAATCTTCCTGGGAAAGAGGAAACACACATGCCCTGAGTGCGGGAAAAACTTCAGGAGTCGCTCTCACCTTATTAACCATGAGCGAATCCACACGGGAGAGAGACCCTATGAATGCTGCGAGTGTGGGAAAAACTTCATTCGGCGCTCACACCTTAGTAGGCACAAGAGGATCCACACGGGGGAGCGACCCTACGAATGTGAGTGTGGGAAAACTTTCGTTTACTGCTCCGACCTGCGGCGACATCAGAGGATCCATACAGGACAAAGACCCTACGAATGCCGTGAGTGCGGAAAAAGCTTCCATCAGGGGTCGCACCTTATTTATCATCAGCGAGTCCATAAGGGAGATAAGCACCTTAAAATCCTCGTGTAGGAGTGGCAAAAATATATTTTTTCTTGAATATTTTTAGTACTTCTGAAGTGTGGCCTTTAAGGCTATTAGTGCCATGTACGTCATTGTGGACTCTGCTCCCCACGGTCAGTTATCCAGGTCTCCTTTTGCACGTAGCCTTTCTTTGGAGTGAATCCTGAAGACCTTTGCTAACAACTGCTTTGTTTTGAGACATTGGCATACGAGTCCCATTTAAGGAATGCACATCAGATCTAGGTGGGGAAAACATGAATCATATCAGTGAGCTACATTGTGGTAAAAACCTTCCTGGCTCTGTCTCCATGAGCATTTTTTGTAGTTAGCCAACTCAACCGCAGCTCTGTTTTCTGCCCTGACGTGGCCCAAGTACCTAGTCCGGGTTAGCGAGCATGTTTTCCTTCAACCTGTCCTAATCGCCTCTACTTTTCCTAGTCTAGACAAACCATTGTCATGATGTTAAAATGTGTGTAAATAACACAGTTCAATAGTGATAGAAATGTAGCCGTGTTAGTCTGGGGTAGCTGAAGCAAAATGCAGGACAATGTAGCACTTTAAAGACTAACAAGATGGTTTATTAGATGATGAGCTTTCGTGGGCCAGACCCACTTCAAGTGGGTCTGGCCCACGAAAGCTCATCATCTAATAAACCATCTTGTTAGTCTTTAAAGTGCTACATTGTCCTGCATTTTGCTTCAACAGTTCAATGATAATGAGATAGCACTTAATGTAGCAGGTTTCATGGAACAAAGGACAACGCAACGGGAAAATCTTCGGTCCTAATTCTGTCATTAGATGTAACCTGTTGTAGAATCTCATTCTGTCTGAAACTGAAAATGCCTTATTCCTCTGTCAGCAAGGCCAGATTTCCAATTCAGCACAGTGGGCGTGTTTATAGGGCCACCAGCATCTTAAGGGCAGGTTGCCACGTATGCAATTTTCTAGCCCAAATGGACTATAGCTGTTACTTCCCAGGGTTTTTAGCAGTGTGAGTTGTGGTATTTTGGGCTATTCTACTACCACTCGTGACAGTGTTTGGGAGTTCTTGAAAGGGAGGAAGCCTCCTGATCTTCCTCACCCCCTGCGAAGTTGCCCCACACACCGCTTGTCTCTCGTGCTCCCTTCCCTTAGATGATGTTTGCAGCAAGCAGAGAATTCTTGTCTTGAGAGAGGCAGAAAACGTGCTGCAATTTTGCCTTTTGCCTTCTGGAGCCACAACGGCCTCTGGAGTAGCCTGAGCTGGCTGAAGCTGACGTATCACGCAGGTGGCAGCAAACAGCAGATGGGCGGTAGGTGCGTTTTTTCCTCAAGTGAATAGTTGCAGCCACCTCCTTGGAGGCAGGTTAGGAGGCAGTGTGCGCCACACGGGATTACTGTGGGTGACAAGGCCACATGGGAAGGCAAGAGGGGGTGCTGAAGATGCTGTGCCTATGGCAGTGATGTGCAACCAGTGGGTTGTGACCCCCAAGGGGGTTGCGGATGCCTTCCCGGGGGGTCACAGCACTTAGATCTGGCCAACCGGGGACTAGGCCCGGCTGTTGGTGGCTGCGCGGCACTTAGATCTGGCCAGCTGTGGGTTGGGCCCGGCAGTTGGCTGTCCCCGTGGTGCAGCACCTAGATCTGGCCAGCCGGGGACTAGGCCCAGCAGTTGGCGGCCCCCGCAGCGCGGAGTCTCAGATCAGAAAAGGTTGCACACCACTGTCCTAGGGCATGTAAGATGTAAATCCAGCCCTCTGTGTTAGATATAGGTTATTCTCGATCCAGAAGACTCTTTTGGTAGTTCTGATTTATCAAGACTTTGAATCAGTAATTACCAATTACTCAAAGAGTCATTTCTTCTGTTTGTTTCTGTCCCCCACCCTACCCTCGAAGATGACATGGGGAAAGTTCAAACATACCTCAGTCAATTGGAGAGAATATTTTTAGGTAGGGGATATGCTACCGAGGTTTTAAATCTCTAGTCTGAGATGGTGAACATCAACGCACCCTACATTGTGCAATTAATTGCAATAATGGGATATAATCACAGTGTTGTTCAGTGATTGAAGTCAGTATTATCTCAGATACTGTGGAATTCTCTGTCTGCACTAAGGGACTTGAAACTAGGCAAAATGCCCATGTATTTGGTTCCCCACATAGTTGTAACCCAGGCTGTCCAAGAAGATGTCGCCTACTTAGTCCTAATATTTGGGAAAATCTGGCGTTAGCTGTGCCAGAGGAAATAGAAGTGGAGGAAATAGAATTGGTGTTTTTGTTGAATCCACCCTTTGTAATGCTGCAAATGGGTATAAAATGAAATCAATATTGCATGTGAAACAGTTGAGGAATGATAACTCTTCTTGAATAGTAACCAGCCCCTTGTACCGTCTGGTGATTCTCATCCAGTCCTGGGTCTACTTTCTAATTCAGACCTTTGCTACCAGATTAAAGAACTAAACTAGACATGTTTGAGTTTCCTCACGAGCACTGCTGAGATTGTGGGTGGTTTGGTAAAGGGTTCTACTCCACAGACATGTAAATTTGCCCTCATTGAGAGCAATGCTTGGCAAGCACTCAGAACCAGCAAGGCACCTGGTTGCTGGCTGTCACCGCAGAGATGAAAGCGGGGGGTTGGAACTCAGGCGGTCGCAAGTCAGGGGCCTCCGTATCAGCACATGGCACCACACACAATCTCCAGTACCGCAGAAGACAAAGAGCGTGGGGTGCTTCCTCTGTCAGGACACCCGAAGCCTGGCTTGCAAGTCCTGCAGCTGTAGGCTCTGGCCATTCCTAAGGAGCTGTCGAGTCCAGCATGGGTGGGCCTCCCCAGTGGTAGAGGAAATGGAGGCAGAAAACTTGGACCTCCCTTCCACACCAGATGTGTTCAAAGTGGCTCGGAACTTGCTCCCTATGATACCGTGCCCATGCCTGATGTCCTGTGCCCTGGCACCGCAGCCTTGGCACTGACTACTGTGACACCGATGGCGGCATCAGCTGCTGCAGCACTGTTGCCAGTTCCTGCGATGGCACTGATGCACCAGGCTCCGTGGCAGTGGTGATGAGCCATTGTTCCTCCTCACTGTGGCACCGTAGGGTCCCTGGCACTGTAGGGCTCTGCCCACCCTGGTCCGTGGCAGAATCCTTTTTAGAGTCGGAGGATTGCCCCACCTCCTGCACCAATCCTGGAACACCACTCTGCAGACTATGCCGTGCCAGTGTCATGTCCTCTCCCGTGGCCCTTCTAGAATGCAGTGGGCCTACCTAGACTGCGTGGGCCTACCACCAGGTACCAGGGCTAAGCTCCAGGGCAGCCTGTGTGTCCTTAGTGCCCCTAGGGACTCCATCAGCCACTCTGGTCTCTAGAGACCCTGGGGTAGAAGTCGCTTCTAGGCAAGTGGAGCTGGATGCAGCAGTTGTGCCAACCTCGGGGCAGGAAAGGACACTGGCGATGCCAGCACCGTTTACTATCCCATTGTCTATCAGGGAATTAGAGGAACAAGAGGATCTGGTACCTTCTTGGGTGTCCTCTTCTTCGTCGCCTGATGAGGCATTGGCGGGAGCAACAGCTCCCCTGCCCACGACGGATGCCAGGGCCCATCAGGACCTCCTTCACCTGGTGGCACAGAACCTCAGTCTCCAGGCTGAGGAGCTTACAAAGGGATCAGACCCAGTGGCCGACATTCTGATCTTGGAGGGTCCCTCCAGAGTGGTTCTGCCTCCTGTAAAAACAATCGCTATAATATCAGGGTGCTCCAGCAGACACCAGCGTCTGTCCCGTTGACAGCAAACGGGGTAGAACGCTAATACGTTGTCCCGCAGAAGGGATCCGAGCATCTTTTCACCCACCTTCAGACAGGGATATTGGTAGGCAGGGTCAGCCAGGCCCCACTCTGAAGGCTAAAGAGGCCAAGAATATGGACCTCTTCAGCCACAAAGTAATTGTGATTAGGGAGCTCCAGCTTCACACCGCCAACCAACAAGCCAGGGCTACTCAACACATGGCCTGTGGGCGTTGTGGTTTGGGTTTATGTGGGCTCAACACACGGCCCGCAGGTGGGATCCTTTGAACATGGCCTCCACTGGGAACACGCTCCACAACGGTGAGTCGACGTAATGGTCTTCTGTTGATATGCATTTTAGTAGCTAAATTCCTGGACTGTCATTGCTCATTAAGGGTATGGCTAGACTACAGGCTTTTGTCGACAGAACTTCTGTCAACAGATACTGTCAACAAAGCTTCTGTCGACAAAGAGCATCTAGACTACATCCAGTTCTGTCGACAAAGCAAGTCGCTTTGTCGACATGACAGTGTAGACGAAAAGGACAATGTAGATTCAATAATGCCTTCTGTCGACAGAACCCTGTCGACAAAAGGCGTTATTCCTCGTAGAATGAGGTTTACAGCCGTCGACAAAGTTGCTGAGTTCTGTCGACGTTATGTCGACAGAACTCAGCGGCAGTGTAGACGCAGGTATAGTTTTGTCGACAAAAGTGGACTTTTGTCGACAAAACCCTGTAGTCTAGACACACCCTAAAAGTGCTGTCATGTGGGTGGAAATGGGGTAAATGTTGCATTTCATTAATATCAGCAGAACTGACTTAAATGGGGTCTGTGTGTTGTGTAGTCTTGCCTTAATCTTTGTATTCATGCCCGTCAGTGTGAAAGAAGCTATGTTTGCATATATATTTGCATGTATATGCAACCACACTTAAGTTGCGGTCCTCGGCATGTGCTGTGAGTATCACTGTGGCCCCTGGGGCTTCCAAAGTTGAGTAGCCCTGCAACGAGCGGTGCTGAGCTGGTATGCCTATACCTCCTGGGCAAGTTCCAGGAGTTACTGTCCATGGGCTCACACTTGGAGTCCTCCACAGTTCTACAGGAGGACAAGGTGGTCACCTACATGTCCTGCAAGCGGCCTTGGACTTTGCCGTGTCCACAAGCCAGATCCAGTAGCTTGGCAGACTTAATCTGGCCCATGCGCCATATTTTGCCCAGGCCTGGTCTATGGCCTAACTTGGCAGACTTAATCTGGCCCATGCGCCATATTTTGCCCAGGTCTGGTCTATGGCCTAACTCCCTGCCCAAGATTATATTTGAATGCCAGGTCACCCCACACTCTCTACATTCCAGTTTGCTCTCTGAAACCCCATCCTTCTGTCACAGGAGGAAACTTGGTTCCCGTGACGCAGAGGTGACTTAGTGCTCTGGCTCCAGAGGACCAAATCTATCAGCAGATCCCATTCAGTAGGTTTGCATAGGTGTAGTTTAACTTCTATATTTGGGGAGGCTGGGGCTGCAGGCTTAGGGCTCTGGGAGACAGTGTTTTTCTGAGACATCAGAATGTAATAGACCCAGCTCGCGAGCTGCGTGCTGCTCTTCACCCCCAAAAGTGCAGCTCGCGAAGTTGGCCGTGTGCCCCTCCAAACGGCCCCGGGCTCCCCTGTGCTCACCGTGGTAGGGGAGCCATCCAGCGGCGATTCAAGATGGCGGCGGCCGATGGGCGCCTGATATGGCCAAAAGTGTAAGTCCTTGTTTTTTAAAGGGGCGGGATTTTTTTTTTTTTTTTTGCTCGATAATTCTGAAGCAGCTCTTCGCATTTTTTCTGCCGCTGTTTCGGCTCTCTTTGTTTAATGGGTTGGCCACCCCGTAATAGACTATGGCCAGAGGTGATGGAGGGGGCACATGGGAAAGCACGTTCCCCCTCCCCCGATTTGTTCCCTGGTTAGCCTTGAACTTTCTCACATGGATTGAGCATGCTCAGTGACCTTGCTGACGCTGGCTGCCTTCACTCTGTCCCTCCTTTTTGTGGCCATTCCCTAAAAGAACCTGTTCCAACCACTGCTGGGATTCCTCTTGAAGAGCAGGGTGCCGCAGATTACAGCCTGAAATTTGGGATGATAAACTGCATCAGAGCTGGGGTTTGAATAACTCCTCCTCGCCAAAAGGGAGGGTGTAGGCACTGTGCCATAGCATTATGCAGTCATGCCTGGCATCCGCACATCTACTAGCAGAATAGAGCCAGGCATAAACTCCAAAAAGGACCATGTCAAGGTATTTACACTATTTCCACAAAGATGCAGCATGGCCAATTGCAGCTGGAAAACCAGCCTTTGCAACCAGACAACTTAGGGCTGTTGCTGTTCCGTGTCTCCCTCTCTAGCAGCAGACACGGCATTGTGGACAAGTAAAATCAATCCCAAAGGCCCCTTTCATCAGCCCTAGCCTTTCATCATTTGCAAGTGTGTTTGGATCTTCAAGAAATCAACAGATTTGCCCGCGAACAGCAGAAAATGGAGTGTAGCCGTTTGCATAATCAAGTGCAAATTGGGAGCCTGGTGCTTTTCATTCCTGATGTTGTGGTGCCATCGTGTGGCTATTTCATTATTGTCGTTCTTGAAAATGGCACTTCTCGCTGGAGCAATATTTTCCTCTTCGAGATAGATACAGACTGGTCATTGGTCAGCTCAGACTCAGGGACAACTTACTGCAGTGGAGGAGGTGGGATGCACAGCTGCAGACCCCGCCTCTCTCCCTCCTCCAAATTTGTCCATCTCTACAGCTTCCTCTGTCCTTTCCTGCCTACAGCAGATGCCAGGTGGCCGGCCTCCTGTGCTGAACAGTGGTGTGATGTTGTCTGATTAAAATATGGCCATGTAGATTGTTATTGCTATCCCTATTATCTAATCGCAATAAACCGTGTACAAAGTACAGTAGACTTCCGATAATCCGGAACCTATGGGACCTAGGTGGTGCTGGATTATCAGATATGCCGGACTATCAGGAGGTACTATAAGATGGTTATATATATACTGTATACATTATATACTGTATATAAAGTGTTCTTAACCCTTTTTATTGTACATACTGTATACAGTATACTGTAAAGTTTTAGTTTTTTTAAGCCTTTTTTCTCAGTTCAGCTGCTGCCGCTGTTACCTTGTGACTCATTTTTTGCCGAAGCTCACTCACTAGACTCTTGCCATTTTGATGCCAGACTATCAGGAGTGCCAGACTACTGGATGCCGGACTATTGGAGTTTTACTGTATGTCAAGTAATGCATCAATGGAAAAGGTATGAGCTGCTGAATACGATCTCCTATTTGTATGCATGTATCATTTTTGTATGTAAAGTTATAAGCATTGACCATGTCTTTGTTTTTCAAATGTGGCTGCTTCTAAGTAACACTGACAAGCTATTTAGCCAGCTCATTGTGAAGGCCTATTCAAGCTGAATGGGGCATCTGGACGACAGAAGATTCCCATCCACACCTGCTGGACTTTCATGTGAACTACTCAACACATGGCCCATCTGTTTGCGACCTACGGTATGGTTTGGGTTTACACGGGGCTCAACACACGGCCTGTAGGTGGAATCCTTTGAACATGGCCTCCACTGGGAACATGCTCCACAACGGTGGAACATGCATCTCCCTGTTGAGGTGAGCATCGAAGACACAAGCGGATGGGCTGGCTGGAACAGATGGGTACAGAGTGTCGGCATTTCTAGCTGACAGAGAGGAGGTGTGGGGAGCGCTAGGGCATTGTGTGAAAGAAGCTATTTACATGTCTATGCAACCACACTTAAGATGCGGCCCTTGGCATGTGGTGTGAGTATCACTGTGGACCCCGGAGCTTCCAAAGTTGAGTAGTCCTGAACTGGAGTGTGGGACTCAGTGGAGCACACCTGGGACTATGAGATTTTGTGGGGCCCCTGTGTGTAAGTCTTTCCTAACTTAAGACAAAATCCTTTGGGGGGGAGGGCTTTCCCATAGCTCTAGGAGTTGGGGCCAAAAATGAGGGGTTCAGAATCCCTAGTTCTAACACCTGATCAAGTATGTTAAGGGCTGTAATAAAGAGGAGTGGACCAATTGTTCTGTACATCCAGTGATGGCACTCATTAGCTCAAGATGTGCTATTTGTGCATAGCCCCACACACTCCTAGGCTATGTCTAGACTGGCATGCTTTTCCGCAAAAAGTGCTTTTGCGGAAAAACTTGCCAGCTGTCTACACTGGCCCTTTTGTGCAAAAGGACTTTTGCCCGAACGGGAGCAGCATAGTATTTCCGCAAGAAGCACTGATTTCAGACAGTAGGAAGTCAGCGTTCTTGCGGAAATTCAAGCGGCCAGTGTAGACAGCTGGCAAGGTTTTCTGGAAAAGCAGCTGCTTTTGCAGAAAACCTTGCCAGCTGTCTACACTGGCCCTTTTGTGCAAAAGGACTTTTGCCCGAACGGGAGCAGCATAGTATTTCCGCAAGAAGCACTGATTTCAGACAGTAGGAAGTCAGCGTTCTTGCGGAAATTCAAGCGGCCAGTGTAGACAGCTGGCAAGGTTTTCTGGAAAAGCAGCTGCTTTTGCAGAAAAACTTGCCAGTCTAGACACAGCCTTAGTGTTTGCCTGGTGAGCTAGTCATAGAATCATAAAATTCTAGGGCTGGTAGAGACCTCAGGAGGTCATTAAGTCCAGCCTCTGCCCAAGCAGGACCAACCCTAACTAACCTAGTCAGGTAGGTTCTTAGTGGGAGTTTGGGGTGCAGGGACAAATATGTCGCTTCCAGGACTGCCGCACTGGCCCATGGGAGGGAGGCTAGTATGGTTGCCAAGATTTGCAGTATCTTAGTGGTGGCTTTGGGTCTAGTAACAGCTTCTCACTGAACCACCGGAACTATAACAACAGAGTAGTCCCGGCGCACCTTAACAGGGCATATCCACACTTAGAAATTTCAGGAATTATTTCAAGTTTAGTTATTTCAAAATAAGCGTTATTCCCTAAGGAAAGCAGGAGTACAGATGTCGAAATAACCAGCCCGTTATTTTGAAATAGCAGACTTGGTAGTGTGGACGCTCTGCTAGTTATTTCAAAATAACGGGCTTGGTAGTGTGGCCACTCCGCTTATTTCGAAATAAGGGGGTTTAGTTTGAAATAACTCCCTAGTGTAGACTAGCGCTCAGACAATAACAAAAATATGACAGCTTTTGTGGGCCAAAACCATTTCCTGAGAGGGGCTGGAGTGGGAAACAGAGGGCATTTTCTGCCCCCCCCAAGCTGCGCCCCACTGGGGGTCAATCAGTGTGTGGGGCGAGAGGGGCAATTTGTTTGCTCACAGTTATTCTGGGACCAGGTTG